ATAATTAATTAATTAAATAAATAAATAATTTAAAAAACAATAGAAGCTGGCATGGATGAGAAGAATAGGGAACACTTACACACTGTTGGTAGGAGTATACATTAGTACAACCTCTATGGATATAGGTATGGAGATTTCTCAAAAATCTAAAAGTAGATCTACCATTTGATCCAGCAATCCCACTGCTAGGTACCTACCCGAAGGAAGAGAGGTTATTATATTAAAAAGACACCTGCTCCTGTATGTTCATAGCTGCACAATTCACAATTGTAAAAATATGCAATCAACCTAAATGCCCTTCAAACAATCTGTGGATAATGAAAATGCAGTGTATATACACTATAGAATACTATTCAGCTATCAAAAAGAATGAAATCATGTCTTTTGCAGTAACTTGGATGAAATTGGAGAACATCATCCTAAGTGAACTAACTCAGCAACAGCAAACCAAACACCGCGTGGGAGCTGAACTAAGGATCTGCGAAGACATAGAGAATGTATAATGGGCACTGGAAACTCAGAAGAGGGAGGAAGAGAGGGTGGAGGGACCAAAAAAATCACCTGTTGGGTACAATGTGCACAAGTGGGGTGGAGGGTGCATTTAAAGCCCAGACCAAAAACTATTTGTACCCCCTAAAGCTACTGCAATAAAGAAAAAAAATCAAAACAAAACCAAAAAAAACTTATTCTAAAGCTGTTCTAAGACAGTATGGTACAGGCATACCTTGGAGATATTGCAGGGTAATGTTGTGGCTAACTTGATCTTTCATCCAGACCACTCAAACTTTCTCCATATCAGTGATAAGGCTGTTTTGCTTCCTTATCATCTGTGGATTCACTGGAGGAAAAAAAATTTTTTTTTTTTTTAATTCAGAATCTGGCTCTGTTGCCCAGGTTGGGGTGCAGTGGCACTGTCATGGCTCACCACAGCCGCCAACTCCTGGTCTCAGGCAACCTTTCATACTTCAACCTCCTGGGTAGCTGGGACTACAGGTGTGCGCCAGCATGCCTGGCTAATTTTTTACATTTTTTATATCAAAATAAGGTCTTGCTATGTTGCCTGGGCTGGTCTCAAACTTTTGGACTCAAGCTATCCTCTCGCCTCAGCCTCCCAAAGTGCTGGGATTACAGGCATGAGCAACTGGGATTACAGTGCTTGGCTTGGAGTATCACTTTTAGTTTCCTTCCAGAATTTTTCCTTTGCATTCACAAGCTGGCTGTTTGCACAAGAGGCCTCGCGTTTGGCCTGTCTTAGCTTTCGACATGCCTTCCTCACTAAGCTTCACCATGTCTAGTTTTTTAAAAAAATTTATTTAAAATGAGAGACATAATGCTTTCTTTCACTTAAACAATTAGAGGCCATTGTAGGGTTATTCACTAACATAATTTCATTATTGTTGTGTCTAAGGGAATAGGGAGACCTGAGGAGAGGGAGAGAGATGGGAAAATGGCTGGTCAGTGGAGCAGGCAGAACTCACAACATGTATCAATTAATGTTATATGAGCATGCTTGGTTGCATCTAAAAACAATGACAATGATAACATCAAAGATCACTGATCACAGATCACCACGACAGATATAATAATAATGAGAATCTTTTAAATATTGCAAGAATTACCAAAATGTGACATAGAGACAGGAAACAAGCACACGCTGATGGAAAAATGGTGCTGACAGACTTACTTCAGGCAGAGTTGCCACAAACCGTCAACTTTAAAAACACAGTATCTGCGAAGTGCAATAAAACGAAGTGTAATAAAATGAGGTACACCTGTATTGACAGAAAGACAGACAAGCAGATCAGTGGAACAAAGAGTTCATCAAAAGAACCACAGATTTATAGATCTTGGCATATGGAAAAGGTGGTGGTGCATATCAGAGAGTACTGGATAATTTATCCTTGTAGGAAAGAGATAAGACTCCTATCACCTATAACACACACACACACACACACACACACACACACACACACACACACACACACACACACACATACACGAAGCAGATAGCTAGATGAAAGGCATACATGGAAAGAGCAAAACTCCAGCGAAAATTGAAAATTTTTTTGAATAGCTAAAGCTCCAAAATGGTACCAATCCTTCGTTTCTGTGGACCACACTGTAGGATCAGAGGGACTATCACATGTGTGACCAGGGAAACAAATATAAAAGAATGTCTATTGCAAAGCTGGACAGGCAAAACACTGACTAAAGCTTCAATATCCATCATGAGAAGAAGTATTCTTACAACAGAAGAGGAGTGGAAAATTAATGAAATGAAGCTCTACACACCAACATGAATAAACCCCACAAACTGCCATGCATAAAAAATAAAGTTTCAGAATACCATGTGCAGAATTGTAGCATTTATATGAAGTTCAAAACATGCACAGAAATACTATATATTGCTTAAAGATTTATACATATGTTGCAAAATGTAAAACTATGCTTAGAGTGATAAACACCAAATTCAGTACAGTGTTTATATATATATATATATGAGCAGAGAACATAATGGCAACATGTTAATATTTGTCAAGACAGGATGGTAGGTCCATGATTGTTTTTTATATTATTTTCTACACACTTCGAAAGAGAAAAATGCTTAATCAACTTACCAGTAATTTTAAAATGTACACGTGTTAAAATGAAATCATACTTGCAAAAGCCCTGCTTTGAGAATGAAGGTTTGTTCATGATCAGAGACAGGGAGGAAACTTGTTTTCTTGATCTGCTTGATTCTCTTTTGGGTGGAGGCAGGGTGAATTTGAAACCCAGTATATCAGGGTCAAGACATCCTGTGTCGCTACAACCAAAATCCATCCCTGAACCAGCACCAGGGCTCTGAGGGAAGAAATACCAGGAGGGAGTGTGGAAGGGGGCGTGTCTATGGTGGGAGTGGGGTGAAAAGCAGAAGTCTTGAGTGACCTGCAGGTCTTTGCAGCTTCTCCCTACTTGAGCACCTTGGAGAGGGCAGGAAGGTATGCAGGAGCTGTAGGGAAAATCATTCATTCATTCATTTGTTCATTTATGCATTAATGCCACAAATATTTATTGAGCACCTACTATGTGGCAGGTACTCTGCTTGGTCTGGGTTTCTGATGAATATCAGAAATGAAGTCCATAACTCACTATACCCCAAGACCACTTTCTGAGTTCTGAACTCTCTCTCTCATACCCACATTCAGTTTTGCTACTAGGCAGAACTTCCAAGTCCTGTGAAGAGGTTCTATTAGCTGAGTTTAGGGATACCTTCCTTAATTCATCCCAAAATATATATCAGATGACAATGGAAATATACAACAATGTATGTGGGGACTCTAGAATTTAGGTCTGGACCTTCATCTCACTCCCACACCTTGGGCCCTCCCCCCACCCCCAACTCCAGGGTCCCACAAAATGGAATTTGAAAACTTTTCTCCTCCAGGACACTACACAAGAGATACAGTGGGAAGCCTCTGAGAATTCCAAGAGACATTTGGAGACAATAAGAACGTTTGCAACCATCTCTTGAGGCTAGATCACCCCTGGGGCACCTGTGAGTTTGTGGGCCCACCCTGGACACCTCTTGCTAACCCATGACCAAGGTCCTGACCTTTCTCTTCAGGACTAGGCCCCACTTCAGGCTCACCTCTCACAGGTTCCACTTCCTGTAGCTGTAGGTGACTGTGAAACTCAACACCAGCAGCACCTTGAGGCCCACAAGGAAGGCCAGAAAGACAAGGCCAGACATCTCTGGACCTAAATGCCAAGGGACAGAAGAAGCATCACATGGGACTCTGGGAGTTTAAATATCCTCTTGGAGATTATGAAGCCAGGAAGTTCCAGAGCCTGCAAGTTGCACCCAATTCTGATTCCAACCTCATGTCTTTTCTCTACACTTTGCTCTCTCCGGGAAATGAGACTATCATGACCTCTAAGTCCCACCTTGAATTCAACTAAACAGACACTGACTTGAATATCTGTCATATATCGTTGTGTCAGGTTTTAGAGATACAGCCTGAATACAATCAGTTACATGTCTCCAAGACTTCATGGTCATTTAACATAACCTTGCCATAGCCTTAGGAATTTGGTATCGTGAGCATTATTTTATAGATGAGTAAACTGAGGCTCTGAGAAGATAATTAACTCAGTTGCCCAAGTTATTATAACACAGTTATAATTATTGGAAATTAAATGTTTAAATAGCAGTGCCTGAATTCAAATAATAATAGCAACAGTGTTACTTACATTTATTGTGGATTTATATGCAGACTATATGCAGAGTTTATATGTATTGATTCACTTCATCCTCATCAAGACTATGAATTAGGAGGCTTTATTCAGCCCTAGCTACAGAGGAGCAAACTGAGGTGTAGAGGTTAAGTGTCCATGCAAGGATTATGTGGAAGAGGCAGCTCTATCGTTGGAGTAGACATCATACAGCTTCCAGGGTGAGGATGTTTGATCAAGCCTTCTGTATAGGCAAGCTCACCTCCGAATAATTCCAACAGATATTTTAAACAAGAGAGCCTTGCTCACCATCATCTCAGAATCACCCGAAAGTAGACTCGCTAAGCAGAACTCTTGGGAATTTTCAAGGAGGTTGAGCCGGGAAACCACTCTTTCCACAGAAATGAAAGAGCCCTTCAGGATGGCCACTTTTAAAGGAAGCCCAAAACCATGTGGATTATTCGAGGAACCACAGACTCTTAAGTTGGACAATACCTCATTGTTATCAAGCTGCCCCTCCTCCCAGTGCCCTCTGGAATCCACTCAGGATACAGAGATGACTCCAGGAGCCCACAGAAGAAGAAGTGAGCTTACCCGGCTTCCCAGTGGACTTGTGTGTGGTTTGGGCTGCTGTGGACAGTACGAGGTTGGCCCGTGTGGGAGGCTGTGCTTCATGCTGCACCATACAGGTGAGCACCCGCTCAGGCCCCTGCATCGACGTGTTCACCACTAGCAGGTCTTCCATGCTGTAGGACCCATCACTGTTCTTCTTGGACGTGGGTTGCTCAGCTTCTTTGAGCATATGGCAGTCCTCTAGCCAGGTGATATACACACTCTGTGGATAGAATCTCTGCACATGGCAGGTGACAGCCACCAAGCTGGAGGAGATGGGAGACTGGGACACTGTCACTGCAGGGGGAACTGACAAAGCCCAGAGAAAACAGACAATAAGAATTATTGTGGGAAGCCCACCACGAGATCCTGGGAGCTCCTTGAGGATAGTGTCATCTGCCCAGGGCCCCACCCAGCTCCTGCCATAGCCAAGAACTGAGGTATTGATGAACAAAACCATGTGTAAAGAAATGCATGATTAGGCCATTGCCAGAACATCACTGCCAATGCCTTGCTGGAGTCTGGGGCCATGTGCTGTTTGAGCTATGGCTGTCGCCATGCTTCCTGTCTTTGGCCTCCTCCCCTACCCTGGGGGGATGAATCTTCTCTTTCTCTCTCTCTCTCATTTACTTTTAAATAAATTATATTCTCTAATCTAAAAAGAAAAGAAAGAAAGAAATGCATGTTTGGATGAGAGTGCAAATGCATGAGTGAATGCTTGCTTGTGTGGGTGGATGGAGGGGTGGATGGATGGATGGATGGATGGATGGAAGGAAAATGAATGGGATTGATGAAGGCCATTCTAATCTTTCTTTTCTTTTTCTCTTTGGTCTTTAAAGATGAAAAGCTGAGGTATGAATACCATTAAAGAAGTTACAAATCTATGATGACTCATTCTATGATGAACAATTCTAGGATTTGAAGATTCATAGACTCTAAATCTTAGAATCCGATACACCAAGATTTTACATAAGAGGAAACTTCAGTTTTAAAAGGTTAAGTAAGCCGGGCTCGGTGGCTCAGCCTGTAATTCCACGCTTTGGGAGGCTGAGGTGAGTGGACTGCCTAAGCCCGCAGGTTCGACACCCGCCTGGGTAACTTGGCAAGACCTCATCTCTACAATAAATTAAAAAATTAGCTGGGCATGGTAGCTTGTGCCTGTAGTTCCAGCTACTTGAAAGACTGAGGTGGAAGGATCGCCAGAGCCCAGCAGGTGGAGGCTATAGTGGCAGAAAGGTGTGCCACTGCCCTCCAGCCTGGGTGACAGAGTGAGACTCCAACTAAAAAAAAAAAAAGGTTAAGTAATTTGGCCAAGGTCACAAGTGGCAAAGCTGGGAGTACATCAGAGACAGTATGTTTTACCTCTATGGTATTCTGACAATTGAACTGTGAGCACTTCTGATTCTAGACTTGCGAAACTATGGCCTACTGACTTCTAGAATGTTTTCAACCAGATTTTCAGCTATGCAATAGAATGCATTCATAATAAGGAAAACGGGGGAAATGTGAAATCCTATAAAACATTAAATATGACTGGGCACGATGGCTCAAGCCTATAATTCCAGCACTTTGGGAGACCGAGTCGAGAGGATTGTCTGAGCCTAGGGTTCAAGACCAGATTGGGCAACTTGGCAAGACCTCATCTCTACAATGAATCAAAAAATAAGCTGGGAGTGGTGGAACACACCTGTAGTTCCAGCTACTTGGAAGGCTGAGGCAGAAGGATCGCCTGCGCCCAGCTGGCCGAGGCTGCGGTGGCTGTGAACGTGCCATTGCACTCCAGCCTGGACGACAGAGTGAGACTCTGACTCAAAAAAAATAAATTAATTAAACATTTCAGTAGGACTGGGAGATGCAGATTCTGGTCCCTGCACTGATGCTGAAGCCAACAGCAAGACCTTGTGCAAGTCATTTTCCCTCTGTTTCCAAGACACTGAAATTATGAAATTCTCGAAGGTCAGATCAGCTCTTGTGGGTCTAGGTGAGACACGTTTCAGCCCATGGTCTACAGTAGAGATAGTAGCTCCTTCTGTGGTACAGTTTGAAAGAGGTACGAGCGGCTAGGCTCAGTGGCTCAGCCTATAATCCCAGCACTTTGGGAGGCTGAGGCAAGTTGCCTGAGCCCACGGGTATGAGACCCGCCTGGGCAACTTGGCAAGACCTCATCTCTACAATAAATCAAAAATTTGCCAGGCATGATAGCACACGCCTGTAGTTCCAGCTACTTGGAAGGCTGAGGTGGAAGGATTGCCAGATCCCAGTAGGTTGAGGTTGCGGTGGCTGGGAGCATGCCACTGCACTCCAGTTTGGGCGACAGAGACTCCAACTCAAAAAAAAAAGAGCTATGAGCATTCAAACCCAAAATATCCTTTTCTCATCCTCAACCCACCCAGACTTGTGAAATTCTATTTCTCCTTTCAGCACACAGGCACAGCATAGGGACATCACCACGCAAAGCATGAGGAGTGAGAAGGGAGGACCCCGGAGGTGGAAGACCGGGTAACGGATGGTGGTGATGCCACCAACCAAGTGTTGTGGGCTCTCAAGTGCAGCAAGAACCAACAAAAGAATGAGAGGCATGAGTGGCCCATTCCAGCCACCGGTGAGCTGCCCTGGAGGTATGGTATCCGGGACAGTGCCCGCAGGACAGAGGCCCCGGGCACAGCTGGCAACAACTGCTTCCTTGCACTAAATGGCAGTGTTTGAGGCAAAGTGCGTGTGTTTTCTTATTTAATTCTCACAAAACCAAAGAGCAAACACTAAAAGCTACTTGGTATCAGGGGGAAAAAAGTGTCACTTAGAAGAAAATGGTGTCAAATCAGGCCCCAACTTCATAGACAATGTCAGATAGGAACTGGTGGCAACTTCATCTTGAAAAGCACTGAAATTAGAAAAATAATTTTATTTAACTTATATTTGTGTATGAACATAGAATAGAGTTGCAACTATGCACCAACTTTTAGAAGGAACAAGTGTTAGGAATAAAGGATGCTGGCATGATTTTTTCCCAAAGTTTATACTATCATACCAACAAATCCTTCATTTCAAATCTCACATTTAAAGCACAGTCATTTAAATGTAATTTTGAAAAATTATTTGAGTGCTCTCTCCATTTTCACAGGGGGCCTCTTTTAATCAAAGTGCCCTCTTGTGAAGTGCCCACAGTGTCATTATCATCATGGATTTTCTCTTCTTTTTCTTCTTGTTCTTCCATTTTTAACTGCTCAAAGGCTTTGCCTGTGATCTCAGCAGTTACCCAATATCATTTGCATCTACTTCTTGAAATACAACCTTTGCGAGATCTCTGATTGCACTTCGCAAGGGACATGGATTCTATTTGCATGGAGTGGTCTGATGTTTGCCACACTTCAATCAAGGCAAGACTGACCTCCTACAGGTTTCTGGGCTCCACACCTCCTTCCCCAGCTGCCTGACCTCAGGGCGGCAGTGCAGGATATACCACCCATGCCAAGTCCCACCTCAAGATCCCAAAACCCCTTCCCACCTTTCCATCTTGAATTTCTCTCTCTCTCTTTTTTTGATTTGGAGTCTCACTTCTTTGCCCAGGCTGGAGTGCAGTGTCATGCACACTCATGGCCACCCCAGCGTCAATCTTCTGGGCTCCAGCGATCCTTCTGCCTCAGTCTTCCAAGTAGCCGGAACTACAGTCGCACACTACCACGCCCGGCTATTTTTTGTTTTATTGTAGAGATGAGTTCTCACCAAGTTGCCTGGGCTGGTCTCGAACCCTCAGGCTCAGGCAATCCACTCGCCTCAGGTTCGCAAAGTACTGGGATTACAGGCTGAGCCGCTGAGCAGGGCCTTGAATTTCTCTATAACCATGAAATGCTGCCTGGCCCATGCAGCCACAACCCAGCCTCCCTTCCTTCAAGGGACAATTCTGAGGCATAGATCTACACAGTTCCTCAAAGGGTACCCACTGGTACTGAGCTCCAGTAGTTCACAGACGCACCCAGACCAATAACCCCCCTTTCTCGGCTGTTCCTCTTGCTCTCCCATCCCAGCCTCAGCACCACTTCCCAATCACCTACGCCAAGTCCTGACTTCAGGCTCTGCTTTCAGGGAAACCCAAATAAAGACACCTACAAAGACATTTCCATGACAGGTAACACAGCCCATGATGCATGCAGCACTGAAGAGGGAGGGGTTTTGAGAACGAGCTAATTTCATAAGTAGTCGATTCACTTGTGAGTATTTGTATTTTCTATGACTTTTATTTCTTGACACATTGTTCCAGCTCTAGGGAATGACACACTAAACACTCAGAAAAGGAAGACCCCCCTGAACTAACATTTTCCTATCTTACAGCCAAAGACACTGAGGATGAGGAAACATAACAACTTGCATGAGATCCCACAGCTGTTCAGTAAGGCAGAGCTGGAAGCTGGGGTTCACACGGAGGCCCCCTACTCACAAGTTTTACAAACTTGGACAGACTTCACTTCCTTGAACCCCAGTTTCCTTCTGTAAGTCACAAATGAGATAAGCAGTATGGGGTAATTGTACACATTAAACGAGCCAACCTGCATGAAAATGATTTACTGTCTGTGTGCTGTTCTCCTTCCAGACTTCACTGTCAATATTTTCCTCCATGTAAAACGATGTGTTTACTTCTAACAACACACTTTTCCCCCTATTTTGTGGATGAGAAAATGAAGAGGGAGATATTTTGTAGATTTTAAAGTTCAATATACTGCTAAGAAATTAATTGTACTGCTGTGTAACCTTGGACCACACCCTTGCCCTCTCTGGGCTTAGAGTTGTCATAACAATGGGATAATCCTGGGCATAGGTTCCTCCTTTTGGCTTCAAGTCAAGAGGAATTGTCTTGGGTGCACATAAATTATATAATATATTTAGTGTATACACATATTAAAACTTCCCAAGATGCTTGTCAGAAATGTTTGGTTTTTTTCTTGTTTTGGGGGGTTTTTTTCTGAGTTGGAGTCTCACTCTGTCGCCCAGATTGAAGTGCAGTGGCATGCTCCCGGCCACCGCAGCCTCCACCTGCTGGGCTCTGGCAATCCTTCCGCCTCAGCCTTCCAAGTAGCTGGAACCACAGGTGTGCGTCACCGTGCCCGGCTAGTTTTTGATTTATTGTAGAAACGAGGTCTCACCAAGTTGCCCAGGCAGGTCTCAAACTCGCGGGTTCAAGCAATCCACTTGTCTCAGCTCCCAAAATTCTGGGATTACAGGCTGAGCCACCGAGCACGGCTAGAAATGTTTGTTTTGACATGATATTAAAAGACTTCGTGGGGCCACATTACTAGCTGTTCTGGCTGCACGGGGACCGAGGGCTGCAGGTTGGACATGCCTGTCTATGACTTCACTGAATTCACAGATCTGCCAAGCATTAGTCCAACCCAGAAAAATCAACAGAAAAATTAGGTTCATACCTATTAATAGTTATGAGTAATGATCTAAAGACATCATAGTCCCTAGAATTTGGTTCACCAGGCCCTTTAAATCTTCTTCATATAAAATAACAATAATAATAATAAAATTACTCCCCAGAAGATGTTCTGTCTACATTTTACAGGTGAGGGAAGTGAGTTGTGAGAAGTAATATGAATAATAACAATAATAAACGGCCGGGCTCGGTGGCTCAGCCTGTAATCCCAACACCTTGGGAGGCCGAGGTGAGTGAATTGCCTGAGCCCACGGGTTTGAGACCCGCCTGGGCAACTTAGTGAGACCTCATCTCTACATTAAATAAAAAAAACTAGCCGGGTGAGGTAGTGCGCGCCTGTAGTTCCAGCTACTTGGAAGGCTGAGGCGGAAGGATCGCCGGAGCCCAGCAGGTTGAGGCTGCAGTGGCCGGGAACAGCCACTGCACTCCAGTTTGGGTGACAGAGTGAGACTCCAACTCAAAAAAAATAAAAATAATAATAATAAACAATGACAGTTGCCACCTCTGAGTGGTTAGTATGAGCCAGGCCCTGTGTTAACAACATCTCAGGTGTTATTTCACCGAATCCTTACCACAGCCCAGTGGGGGATGTGCATGCCCATTTCCCCCATTTCACAGATCAAGAAACTGAGGTTCAGATAGGCTAGGTAACTTGTATATGGCCTGCAGCCAGTCAGTGGCAGAGCTGGGGTTCTTAGCCAGGTAATCAGGCCCTGGGGTCTATGTCTCGACCAACGCTCTGCCCTGTCCTCAGTTCCTGAAGAGGGAAGAGCACCTCACTGCTCAGGCCAGGTTATAAAGCACAGGCTTTGGGGTCCCACTTAAACCTAAGTTTGCATGCCTAACTCCTCCACTGGAACCCAAGCAGCTTAGCTCTCTAAAATTCCGTTGAAAGACATTGCAATGAGGAAACCAAGGTTCAGAGGAGAACACAGCCTAATTGTGCACAGACTCGATCAAGCAAAGAGAGAGAGAGAGAGAGATCTTACCACGGAGGTACTGGTCCAGGTCCATGATCTTCTGGAAAACTAGCGTCGACTTGTGCTCCACGTGGCAGACGACGTGGGAGGACACATCATCCGCCTTCAGTGGGACGGACACGCTGCTTGTCACGTTGTAGGTGTATCCACTGAGATGGACGCTGGTCCGGGACTTTGGGAGCTGGTGTTTGTTTTTAAGCCAGGTCACAGTAACGTGGGACGTGGGAAATCCAGAGGACGTGTACGTCAGTTGGATGCTCGTGCCAGGCTCAGACCGCTGAAGGGGGCCTTGCAGGTTGTACGAGTGGGCGACATTAGCTGCAAGGAGAGACCCCTCGCGTGAGAGGGCACAGAGGCGCCCGAATCTCCGTGTGAAGAAGTCCTACTGCCTCCTCTGCCACGGGATTGACAGGCTGCGTTCTGATAGGAGCCAGCTTCTGAATCTGATGTCAGAGACCAGACAACGAACTACAAGGACCACTGCAGTCTGTAAGGAGGCCAATCCTATGGACACCACAAAGCAAACACCCTGTCTATGGGTTCTCCCTAGACTCAGGGAGAGCTCACAACGACCCTAGGAAGTGGGAGCAGTTACTATCCCCATTTCACAGATCGAGAAACTGAGATCCAGATAGGCTAGGCAACCAATCCTATGGACACCACACAGCAAACACCCCGTCTATGGGTTCTCCCTAGACTCAGGGAGAGCTCACAGCAACCCTAGGAAGTGGGAGCAGTTACTATCCCCATTTCACAGATCGAGAAACTGAGATCCAGATAGGCTAGGCAACTTGTGTAAGTCCGGCAGCTAGTCAGTGGCAGAGCTGGGGTTCTTCAGGCCCTGGGGTCTATGTTCTGACCAATGCTCTGCCCTGTCCTCAGTCCCTGAAGAGGGAAGAGCACCTCACGGCTCAGGCCAGGTCATGGAGACGAGGTTAGGAGCACAGGCTTTGGGGTCCCACTTAACCCAAGTCTGCATGCCCGACTCCTCCACTGGAGCCCAAGCTGCTTAGTTCTCTAAACCTCAGTTTTCTCATCTGTAAAATGGGGATGACTCTTAATTCTCCAAGTTAACTAGTGTAGAATGGACTGCATAATGTGATCACTGTAAAAGTTAACTATCAGCATCATATATTTGAGGAATTAATATTAAACGTATTTTAATGTTAACGGAAAGAAAAGGTTCAGAGAGGGCTTGTGACTCACCCAAGGGCCTCACCGTAAACAGAACCGACATTCTAACCGAGGGGTTCAGCCTCCAAGTCAAGGATTTTTCTGTTACATCATGGACTGCCTCTCCTTCGGCATAGTGGGTCCTATATATCCAGTGACCTTTTTTTTTGAGTTGGAGTCTCACTCTCTCACCCAGACTGGAGTGCAGTGGCCGCTCCCAGCCACCGCAGCCTTGAGCTGCTGGGCTCCAGTGATCCTTCTGCCTCAGCCTTCCAGGTAGCTGGAACTACAGGCGCACGCTACCACACCCGGCTAATTTTTGATTTATTGTAGAAACGAGATCTTGCCATGTTGCCCGGGCTGGTCTCGAACCCTTGGGCCTAGGCAATCCTCTCGCCTCGGCCTCCCAAAGTGCTGGGATTACAGGCTTGAGCCACCAAGCCCGGCCTCCAGTGGTCTTTAGCATTGCTCCACTTTCAGCCCAGCTCTGGGCTAGACCCTATGGAGACTGCAGAGTCACTGCAAAGCACATACTGTGGGTCCCGCTGTCCAGATGCCAGGCAGGAATCCAGGAAAGGAGTCCTCAGCAGGGCCCTCTGGGGTAGGAATAGCAACTGTCACTGTACTAATGCAAGGTGACTCAGGAAGGGAATTACTTTGCCTGAGGTCATGTGGCTGGACAGTGACAGCCCTGTTCTCAGTTCCTGGAGAGGGAAGAGTGCCTCTCTGCTCAGAGCCCAGGTCATGGAGAGGAGGTTAGGAGCAGAGGTTTTGGAGTCCCACAACCCTGTGGCAGGACACTGATCTGTTTGACTCCAAAGTCTGGCCATCTCGAAACATAAGACCCAGTCCCTGCTTCAAGACTGTGAGAGTCTAGTCATGGAGGACAAGTAAAAATGGAGAGGTGCTTATAGGATGCCCCGTAGTTTAAGTACCAATTGTGAGAACAGATATGACAACACAGCTCAGGAAGAAATAAATATCCATCCGAAATAGAGTATTTAGAATTGAGATTTGAGAAGAGACTTGAGATGACACTAAGGTTTATACTCTCAGGCAGAAAAGGAGAGGGGGGGAAAAATCATTGAATTTGTGAACAGCCCTGCGTTTTAATCCCAGCTCTGCTACTTGGGACCTCTGAGACCTCCGTCCCTGTGCCAGCTTTCTGATCAGTTGACACAGGTGAGGACGGCTGGTGTGCAGTAAGTCTCTGTGGGTGTCAGCCAGTGGGGACAGAGACCTGGAGCGCGGCATGTACAAGGGGTGGGGGTGCTGATGATGGCTCTTAGGGGCCAGCTCAGGGAGAGACAGTGTCAATATCAAATAGAAAGACTTGAAAGCCAGAAAAGGAGGGGGCTGTCTTTCCCCTTGCAGACCATGGGCGTCACAAAGCTGCCCAGGGAAGCATCAGTGGATGCTCTCAGGGGCTAACCTTGCAGCAGTGGCCAAAGACACTATATGTGGGTGAAGGAGAAAAAGAAGACAGAGAGGAAAAACTCTGTCATGTTGATAAAGAAAACATGCAGCTTGCGTCCAATCAGGAAGGACCAGTGTAGAGTTTTACACCCAGACCTGGGTATCCTGCTAGGTGAATGTCTTTCTTATTTCTACTGGACAACAATAAAAAGGGCATGGAGAAACTGAAAGTGGAGTGGGATGATTCCCGCGAGAATCCTCACAGCAGCCTGATAAATGCCAGCCCTGCTAGGGAGAGAGAGTGTGGAAGCCCCCGTCGTGAAGACCGGCTGTTTTTACCAGCTGGGCAGACGCCCACCCTCCCACAGCGGAGTGTCCTGCCCCACTTCATGTACTCCTGGAGAGCAGTCAGTTCACAAGCTGGCTCACCCCTGGCTCACCCAGGTCTAGCCAATCGTAATAGCCTCCACCCACTGTCCACCCCACCACCCAACTGCCTCCGGGCCAGTAGTTCATTCTCCCAAGCTGAGCTGAACAGGCCCCGAACTGCCAGTGGGCAGCGCCCCCTTGTGGAGAAAATCATTGGAGGCCACAGAGGCGAGTGAGATAGAGGAGGAGGAAGAGGAAGAGGAGGCTAGAATTAGGAGAAAGTGGGGGGCAAGGAGAAGAAGGAGGGAGGGGGGAGGAAGAGGAGCAAGAGGAGAAGGGAGGGGGAGGAGAAGGAGGGTGGGAGGAGGAGAACCTGCACTGACCCTCTTTTCCAGCTGAGTCAAGAATTCTGTCCTCCCTCTCTCTTTTGTTTTTTTTTTTAGTGAGAAAGCAGGGTTTATGGAGAGGACAGAAAAGCTCCCACAGTGGGAGGGGACCTGAAGGGGTTGCCCCGTCCTATCTTTAAAGTTGCCTTCCCAGCCGGGCTCGGTGGCTCAGCCTGTAATCCGGCGCCCTTGGGAGGCTGAGGTGAGTGGATTGCCTGAGCCCACGGGTTCGAGACCCGCCTGGGCAGCGAGACCTCATCGCTACAATAAATCAAAAAATCAGCCAGGCGTGGTAGCGCATGCCAGTAGTTCCAGCTACTTGGAAGGCTGAGGTGGAGGGATCGCCGGAGCCCAGCAGGCAGGCTACGGTGCCGGGAGTGGCCACTGCACTCCAGTCTGGGCGACAGAGTAAGACTCCAACTCAAAATAAAATAAAATAAAATAAAAAAGTTGCCTTCCCAAAACTTCCAACTGAACTGGTGTTGCAGAACAGCCTTCCTAGAAGGGATTCTGATGCCCAGCTGTCCTCAGTCTCTGCCATGTCTTGCAGTCAAGTGTGAAGGTGGAGGACTTTCAACACGAAGCGCGCCCTGGGGAAGGAGAGCTCCCCGCTTCTTGGTGAGGATGTGGGGAGGAGTTAGGGGATGAATGTGTGAGAGCTTTACCACCAGCCAAGGGGTCCCCTTTCTTTTATTTCACCTTCCCCCAGTGCTGCCCTGCATCTCTGCATCAGAGGGGCTGGGCTGGAGGGGGAGCGCACCTCTCCCTTGCCTAGGCGTACCTTTCCCCTGTCTATGCGCCTTGGCACGCAGGGTGATGTTGGCCTTGATTGGGGGCTGCTCGTCTTGGACCACCCAGCAAGCGAACTCCCTCCCGTCCAGCGTGGCCTCTGCCTGCCACATGTGGTCCAGAGAGTACGTCCTGTCTGGGTTCTCGGTGACCTGGGGCGACTCCAAGGTCTGGATCGTGTGCCTGTTCTCCATCCAGGTGAGTCGCAGGTGGGAGGGATAGAAGTGGCTGGCGTGGCAGGTGAGATTCACTCTGTGGTGCTCGTGGAATTGGGGCCCTGAGGGCTGGGTAGTGATCTTCATGGTGGGGACAACTAGACAGAGGAATAGAAAGTGAGAGCTGGTGAAATTAGTCCCTGTCTGTGGGCCCCTACCTTGCCCTCTCCCAGGGACCAGCCTCGAGATCTCTCACTCTTACCAGAGAAATAATTTTTTCTTGTATGCTCAACATAAAGTAAATAGGGCCATTAATATTCATTTAATGCGGGGAAGGGGGCATTGGGTGTCTGGAATATTCTTTTCTATATGTTTGAAATATTTCATATCAGGAAATAAAATTTTAAGAATGACTAAATTGGGCCGGGCTCGGTGGCTCAGCCTGTAATCCCAGCAATTTGGGAGGCCGAGACAAGTGGATTGCCTGAGCTCGCGGGTTTGAGACCAGCCTGGGCAACTTACGAGACCTCGTCTCTACAATAAATCAAAAAAAAAAATCAGCCGGGCGTGGTAGCACATGCCTGTAATTCCGGCTACTTGGAAGGCTGAGGTGGAAGGATTGCCAGAGCCCAGCAGCTCGAGGCTGCGGTGGCCGAGAAGCGTGCCACTGCCCTCCAACCTGGGTGACAGAGTGAGACTCCACCTAAAAAAAAAAAAAAAGAATTACTAAAATGCAGTGTTCACCAGGACAGGGACTGTATGTTGTTCATTGCTGGACCCCCAATACTAGAGCAGCACCTGGTAGACAGTAGAAATTCATTATTTATTGAATGAATAGTAAACAGTTAAAATAAAAACAATAACAATGATATTAATAGAACAAAGATGTCTGGAGAGGGAGGCTGGGACGAGATAATTAACAAGACTAAACACTGACAAGTAGCGCGCCAGGCACTGTTCCAGGTGTTCTGTAAGCAATAGCTCATTTCGTCTTCACAGGAAACCTTTGAAATAGGTTTTCGGTTTTTTCCCAGTTTACAAGGAGACTGAGGCAATGAACAGTCAAGTGACTAGCAAGATCACACAACTTGCAAAGTGGCACGGCTAGGGTTAGAACCCAGGAAGGGACTCCTGGAACCTGCGTTTTTAATCACTACACACACATGATGAGGGACCTCCGTGAGGCACTTTGGTTCTGTGTTTGCAAAATGGACTTTGGGCAAAAACCCTGAGCGCCAATACTGCCAGGACTGACCACACCTCACCCTACAGCCCATTCACCTCGGAGCACTTGGGAGAGGTTCATGGTCGTTGTCAGGGGCTCTTCCAGGGCCCTGTAGGTGACTTCGCAGGTGATCTCAGACGAGATATCTTGTCGGGTCAGCGTCACCCAGGCCTTGCTGCTGATGATGTAATTGTCTTCGTTGTCAGGCACCAGGTGCTGAGCTGAGGCTGGGTGTTCACCGTTGTCCTTCCACCAGGTGACATTGAAGTCCCGGGAGAAGTTCTGGGAGCCAAAGGGGCCAGCAGCACAGGTGAAAGCCACTGACTCTCCAGGAGCTGCCCTCTGGGATGGACCCAACAGACCGATGAAGGGCTGCCCAGCTAGGAAAGAGAGCAACTGCAACTGAACACTGAGGGGAACACGTCCCACGAACGATAGTCTGAAGAGGTACCAGTGTGTGTCAGGCCCTGTGGACCTACTATGAGCCGTGTCTGTCTCCAGCCACAGGGAACATACACATGATAACGAGTAAACAAGCAAATGTGATGTCCATGGGAGCTGAACGCCCTCAAGGACGCCCAAAGAGTGCAGAGGTCGAGCATACGGGAGGACTTGCTTGAGAAGGGTGGTCAGAGGAGTCCTTGAGGAGGTGACATCAAATGTCACAGCTGAAACAGGAATGTGAAGGAGCCAACCATGGGAAGGGACATGAAGAAGGACACTCCAGATGGTGGGAACAGCAGGTGAGGGGGACCTCGGGCAGGAAGGGCTTAGTGAGCCTGAGAAACCGAGAGGCCTGTAGGATTTGAGCATCATGGCAAAGAGGCCCAGACGGAAAAGAGCCTTGTGGGACAGCATGGTGGTCTTGACTCTATTCTGAGCGAGGGGAAGCTGTCAGAGACCTTAAACAGAGGGCCAAGGTGACCTGATGAACATATTTTAGAAGGTCACTGGGTTGCTTTGTGGAGAACAGGAAGGAGGGTGCAGGAATGGGAGCACGGGGCCACCCAGAGGCTGGCACAGGACCTCCAGGCTGAGGTGCAGGGGCCTGGACTCGGGTGGGAAGAAAAGGAGGGACTGGCCAGGCCTGGTGGCTCAAGCCTGTCATCCCAGCTCTCTGGGAGGCCGAGGCGAGAGGACTGCCTGAGCCCACGGGTTTGAGACCAGCCCGGGCAACTTGGCGAGACCCCGTCTCTACAATAAATCAAAAATTAGCCAGGCATGGTGGTGCGCGTCTGTAGCTCTGACTGCTTGGAAGGCTGAGGCAGGAGGATCGCTGGAGCCCAGCAGGTGTACACTGGGGTGGCCGGGAGCGTGCCACTGCACTCTAGCTTGGGCGACAGAGTGAGACTGCAACTCAAGAAAAAAAAGAAAGAGAAGGAGGGACTGAGAGGCATCTGGGAGATGCAGCCCACAGGACTTGGTGATGGACATGATACAGGGCTGAATCCGTTATGGGAAATGATGCCCAGGTTTCTCCTGAGTGGCTGAGTGGATGCAAGTCCACTTGTTGAGAAGGGGGAACAGGAAGAAGCTCAAGTTGGTGTAGGAAGGGCGTGGCAATGAGTCGGGCTTTCCAGGTTGGATACAAGCTTACAATGACTTGGTCCTCCTGCTCGGCCTCCTCTCATCGACACCCCACTGGGTGTTGCTGACCCCTGCTTGCTTACCTCCCACGACGGAGAGCTCTCTCCACCTGAGGCGGTTTCATCCATCCTCACACAGCTAGGACTATGACAAAGCACTTCCTGCTTCTAACCTGGTACCTGTCTCCCTGAGTTACCCTAGGAAAACTGTCGGATGAGCCTTGCCCCCTCCTGAAGCCAGCCCTGCAGATTGGAGCCACGACCTCTCTGAGCCTTCCCTACCTCCCCTGAACCCCCTTCTGCACCAGGTCGTGAGTTGATGTTGAGTTCACATAAATGAGTCAGGACCCCTACCCTTGGGCACTGCTGGTAGGGGGTTGGGAGGGGCAGACAGATAAACAACCCACGATCACGCAGGATGGCAGGTGGCAGAGGGTGGCTCAGGAGGCCATGGGAGCTTGTCTACCTGGCACACAGCTCTGGTGCCTTCCGTGTCAGGCTCTGCTCCCAGGACCCCACCCACACATAGCACCTTGTGCTTTATAAGATGCTTCCAGGTGTCTGTGGTCATTTTCACCCACATCCCAATGGAGGGAGGCTGGTATTACTGCCCCCTTTTTCCAGAAGAAGAAGCAGAGACTCAGAGAGGTTCGGTGACTTGCTCAAGGTCATGTAGACTCTCAGTGGCTAAGGAGGAATGGTAAGATGCCTTACCATTTGGGTCCTGGACTCTTCCCACAATGCTAGAGGCTCCATCACTCAAGGGCTTCTCTCTCTCCCCCTCTCTCCCCCCATCCCCCCACTCTCTACCCTCCTTGACCCAGAACTGGACTAGACCCAGACTAGAGCTGACTTCAGGGTAGCTGGATGGGAGGTGGGCTCCTCCCAGGACGTTCCCTCCTCTGAGCCCCAAGCTCCCACCATCTCTCTTTCCCACAATGTCCACATTGAGGAAAAGATGCCAAACAGCATCTGGCAGGCAAAAAATCAGCAGGGCTCGGTGGCTCAGCCTGTAATCCCAGTACTTTGGGAGGCTGAGGCGAGTGGATTGCCTGAGCCCACGGGTTCGAGACCCACCCGGGCAACTTGGTGAGACCTTGTCTCTACAATAAAAATCAAAAATGAGGCGGGCGTGGTAGCGCGTGCCTGTAATTCCGGCTACTTGGAAGGCTGAGGCGGAAGGATCGCCGGAGCCCAGCAGGTCAAGGCTGCGGTGGCCAGGAACGTGCCACTACTCTCCAGTCTCTCCAGTCTGGGTGACAGTGAGACTCCAACTCAAAAATAAAATAAAACAAAATGGGCAAAAGATATGATGAGATATCCCACCAAAGAAGAAGTACAGATAGCAAATAAGCCTTCAAAAAGATTCTCAGCATAATCATCAGGGCTTGGTGGCTCAGCCTGTAATCCCAGTACTTTGGGAGGCCAAGGCGAGTGGATTGCCTGAGCCCGTGGGTTTGAGACCCACCCGGGCAACTTGGCGAGACCTTGTCTCTACAATAAAAATCAAAAATTAGCCAGGCGTGGTAGCGTGCACTTGTAGTTCTGGCTACTTGGAAGGCTGAGGCGGAAGGATCACTGGAGCCCAGCAGGTCAAGGCCATGGTAGCTGTGAGCATACCACTGCACTCCGGCCTGGGCAATGGAGTGAGACTACAACAAAAGAAAGAAGGAAGGAAGGAAGGAAGGAAGGAAGGGAAAGAAAGAAAGAAAGAAAGAAAGAAAGAAAGAAAGAAAGAAAGAAAGAAAGAAAGAAAGAAAGAAAGAAATGAAAGAAGGAAAGGGAAAGGGAAATGGAAGGAAAAGAAAAGAAAAGAAAGAAGGAAAGCAGCTCAGCCACGTCCTCCGAGCCCCACTCCCACCTGCAGCACAAAATGGCGGGACTCGGTCATTCCTGGGGGCCTCCCTGCCTGCTCTGAGGGTCTTCAGGGGCAGGACTCACCTGTGAGTCCCAGGAGAAGGATGAGCAAGAGGAACTCCAGGGCCAACCCGATGACAGTCATGGCTGAGGCTCACAGCGTCTCTGGTCTGTGCCTGATGGCAACCCCTGGATGAGGCTCTGCATATACCCAGGAGCCACTGCCTGGTCTCCTGACAGCCTGGAGCAGGGCTTATACTTCTCAGCTGTCACCCGTGCCCACCCCTGCCAGGTCCAGTGCAGAGGTCTGAGGTGCAGTGAGAGAAGTGGTCACTGTGGTCATGGCCTCCATCCAAGCCCCAAACCTTCGGGTCTGAGGTCTCCAGCTGGGGAGGCATCTGCCGCCTTTGGCTCGGTGTTGACTGTTTCTGAGCCAGACTGGGAAGGGGGTGAGCCCTGCCTGAGCTTTAAGCCACAGGAATGGCCTCTGATGTGATGAACCTGTGTTCTTTCTCTCGGAGGCTCCTCTACACTGAACAAATAGCACTGAGAGCCTGCCCTGTCCCAGGCCCAGAGATGGCTTCTGAGAATACAGAATGGACAAGACTCGGTCCAAGAAGGGTTCTGGAAGTGAGTCTCAATGCATACAACCAAATAAAATGAAGGAAGAGCACAGATTTTGAAATCCAGCACCTGCCTCGCCACCGAACTATGTTCACACAAGAACCTAGCTAATTATTTACCAGGCTCCAAGCTGGGGGAAATGAATGTGAAACTCAGCTGCTGGTTCCCCTGACCTCCCTAAAAATAGCCTCTGCTGGTGGGCTCTCCATTTACTCATCCTAGTCACTTGGGTTCCCAAGGCTTAGCCCTGACCTCTAGACCTATTTGTTTCTATCTGTGTCCCCTGTGAAAAATGACTTTCCCTGAAGGTTGCTGCCTTTCCTCACTGCTGTTACCAGCAGCAGGCACAGCGCTAGGCACTGAATATGTTCTCAGGGTGATGACGGGTGGACCTTTGGGGCCAGGTGTGTTCTCAGGACTGAGTGCGAAGCAGCCATGCCGGCCTGCTCCCAGCCATCCCATCCCCCTGGGATCTGGATGCTGAGCTAACAAGGCAGAGTGAATTGGAAGGGGTTGCCAGTCTGGAGGAAACTGTTCTGGCATCTTCCCCCTCCCTCACAACCCCCTCTGGTACCCAGCCAAGCAAGGTACTCCCAGATGGCACCTAGAGACCAGCTGACTGCAGGAGAAGGAGACAGGCTCCTCTTTTTCCAGGTGTCTCCTGAGGCCACAACGGGTCTACTGATCCACCCTGAGGCTGCCCCGAGCAGGAGAAAGGAAAACTGGAGAGATGGTAGGGTCAAGAGACAGGGTGGCAGGGCAGCTGCCTGAGCTCTTCCTGCCAGGCAGAATGGCTGGGGCAAGGTCCTTGGACAGGCTGCCCACTGAGGAGGGGCCATGCTTGGGGCATCCTAAGCCCATTCAAGAGGACTGGCTACTGGTAAGAGGACCCCAAAGCAAGAGACTGTACTGCAAGTGGGAGTTGTGAGCCTGGATCAGATCATGCGTGAGAGAGACGGTGCAGCCGGCACTCCCACAGCACACACGTGCACATGCATGCATGCACATACATGCACACGTGCACACATGCAGGCCCCCCTAAGGATCCACACCTGTGCCCAGGAGTCAGCCAGCTTCTAGACTCCAGCCACAGTGAACAGAACACCGTCGGGTGAAAGGTTTGCCTTTCCCACCTCCCCTCCCAGACCCCAGCATGCCAGAGGTCAGGGGGGCCTTATTCAGGGGAGGAAGGAGGAATAAAAGGACACTCCACCTTCACCCTTTCTGGATCCCTCAGCGGGAGCAGTGCTGGGTTGGGCTGAGGGGAGAAGGTAAGCGCTGAACTAGATGTAATCAACAACTAGTTTGGACTGGGCCTTAATAGGGCCTTAACACAATGGCCATTTATGAAGCTTGATACAATTACGCACCCACCGTCACTCATTTGTCAACAATTGCACGTGTCCAGAAATGGTGCCTTGGAGACCAGAGGGGGCAGGAAGGAGAAATTTGGCAGAGACAAGTTGAAAGCAGCACTGGAGATAAACCGAACCAGGTGGGCCCCCTGCAGAGCTCAAAGTTTTGACGAAGTGGCCACGCCAGCCATAGGATGTCGGCGAGGTCACTTGCCCTCCCCAAGTCTCAGTTTCTTCAACTGTAGCAAGAGATGAGTGGTATCTACCCAGGGACTGACTGAATCTTGTGTACGTAAAGTTGAAAGCCCTAAAGAAGCATCAAATAGGAGCCAGTGAATGTACATTCCCTCCCTAAGGACGATTACTATCCCTGAGCCCTGCACACCTCCTGTACCCAGTTGACTCCTCCCATGTGCCTGTGTCTCTCAGCTCAGCTCCATCCATAGAAAGACAGTGATAATCATGTCTAGAGTTTTAGAACTTCTAGTATCACACTGAAAAAGTAAACGGAAACAGGTGAAATTTATTTATTTTATTTTTTATTTTATTTTTACTTTTATTTTTTGAGTTGGAGTCTCACTCTGTCACCCAGACTGGAGGGCAGTGGCCACTCCTGGCCACCGCAGCCTCGACCTGCTGGGCTCCGGCGATCCTTCCGCCTCAGCCTTCCGAGTAGCTGGAATTACAGGCGCACGCTACCACGCCCGGCTAATTTTTTTTTATTTATTGTAGAGATGAGGTCTCGCCTGCCCAGGCGGGTCTCGAACCCACGGGCTCAGGCAATCCACTCACCTCAGCCTCCCAAAGGCACGGGATTACAGGCTGAGCCACCGAGCCCGGTTGTGAAATTTATTTTAACCAGGATCATGTATTTACTCCAATATCCAAAGTCATAGCACTTCAACATACAAACACTATAAACATAGTGTGATAGTTGACATTCTTTTTTCTTTAGTCTTTGAATTCTCTACAAAGTAAAATGTAGTCCTACCAAAACAATACAGTTGTGTTTAACCAACAATAATAACAAATTGACACCGGTTCCATTTTTAAATCTAAATTTCAGTCAATTAATTTAATTAAATTTTAAAATGTAGTTCCTTGGTGGGACTAGTCACATTTCAAGTGCACAACAGTCACATGCAGCTACTAGCTACCACAGCGGACAGGGCGGTCTTGGGTGGAACATTCCTTTCTCAGGGAAGCCTTCCCTCCCCGAATGCCTTTTGTGGGTTCAGGGACTTCTCTGCATAGCCCTCACCACAGTTGTAATTAAAATTTTAATTTGCTATTTGTTGTAATATGACACTGTCCCTTATTATACTATAAGTTCTGGTGGACAGGGACTATGTCTTTGGTCACTAATGTGAATATGTGCCAGGAGCAGTGGGTGATGGATGAATGTTTGTTGAATGGATGGATGGATGGATAGATCCATGGATAAGTAAATTAAGAAGAGGACATGTGCAATGGAGTAAGGGAAAGGAGGAAGCATGCCCAGTGAGAAAGCAGAGAAGGCTTCCTGGAGGAAGTGGGTTTGCCTTTCAGCTCTTGCCTTTCAGCCTCAGTCCCACACACACCATCTGCACGGGAGAAGACAGTGTACCAGGGGTGGGCTACAGGAGTTGGATAGCCGTGGGTGGCTGGAAGGCTGGAAAAGTAGAGGTTGGAGTTTTCTGAGGGGTGGTTTGAGGAGTGCCAAAGTACCCACAGCACTTGCCCAGGCAGGGCCGCATGAACATTGGGTAGGACTCCGCTTCCTCTGAGTGGAATCACAGCAGTCTTCTTCCGGATTCCAGTACCAGAGGGAACTGGCTCACATCCAGTCTGTAAGTACAACCTCTTCTAGGGGCCAGGGCCCCAAGAGCCTTTGTCTTGAGAATGGGCCCCTGCCAGTCTAATAGGCTGAAGGACCAAAGAGTCAGAGAAGGATCAGGACCAGAAAGGAACAGAGAGCTTGTAGCTCTTCAGAAAAAAGACACTGATGGTACCTAAAACCCTCCTCCTTGCTGCAACAACCCATGGATCTTTCACTCTTATGCCGCCTTCTTACATGGGGCTCAGACTCAGCCTGGATTCTCTCTTTCAGAAGCTGAGTAAGAATTCAAGGATAGAGGCCCAAACTGTGAGATGCCGACACAGAGCAGAGTTTCTGAAGATACAAACCAGGAACTGACAGGCCAGTCTCAGCCCCACCTCAGACACAGAGTCCTAGAGTGGCTCAGAAATCTGCAGTTAGACAAAACAAAGCGAAGCAGCCTTCTGACTGAGTGAAAACTTGAGAACTACTGACAAGCGACTGAACCAGCCAGGCTCAGGAAGATGACCATCATGGAGATTGGGGAGGAGGAGGGAAGCCAGGGAGAGAAACTAACCCCTCAACCACAGGCTCCTTGTCCTCCAGATCTCTGGAAGGTGTCATCCCCAGGAAGCCTTCCCGATCCCACCACCTAGGCAGTTGAGGAGACCCTGCCCTGAGCGCCCTCCACTCCCTAACCCAAACAGAGCACGTATCACGCTTCCTTCTCATTGGTTGACTGTCCTTGTGACTACTAAACTACATATGCCAGGAGGCCAGGGGTGGGAACTGTCTTGGTCTCCATGGCATCTTCAACACCAAGCACCAGGCTAGCACACAAAAGATGCCAAACAAGCTTGTGCACAATGAATGAAGAAAGAGTGAGTTTGGGCTTATGGGGCAACGGGTATCATTCAGTCCTGATATTTTAGTATTTACCTCAGGGTGGGAGCTGGCTACTACCTCTTGCCTCACTCCTGAGAAGACCCTATGGGGGGGCTGCCCTCAGAATTGCCATCTGCAGGCTGATCCTAGGGTGCTGGAGGAAAAGACTGGCTGGGGAAAATTCAGACAGACGTGTTAAAGGCTAATGTACTCCCTTCCCAACACTGGCTGTGAACGCCAACATACTATTTGTTAGCCCAACCAAGCATCTCACTGGGGAGATTCCAGCAGTTGAGGAAAGGAAACAAGCAAAAGAGATGTGAGGTAAAAGGAGCCTTCTTTTGCTGTTTCACACAAACTTCTCTACTGCGAGAGCTGAAGACTTCAGCCTCTACCAGGAGGTTGGCCCAGTAGTCTCATCCCCCTGAGAGCAAGCAGCTGTGGTAGCGGGAGATGGTGGGTGAGATCAATGCCTCAGCCCCAGAGGATGGCTCTCACAGGTGGGCTTCTAGGCTCTGTGCACCTAGGGGGGCCCACTTGTGGGAACAGGAGAAGAAGGGGAAACACAGTGAGATGAAGTGACATGCCTGATAACACACAGGCGGAGAGACCAGTGAGCCAGCTAGGAGCCAATGGGGAAGTGACAGGAGGCTCAGTTCAGTTCTAGAGAAGGAAGGACTTTCTAGCAACCAGTGCTGTCCAACAATGAAACCGTTTGCCTTCTGAGGCAGAAACTTCCCTTCCCCAGGGACCTGCAAGCAGAGGACTCCTTTCAGGGATGCTGGAGAAGGATTCTAGTTGGGCTAGGTAAGTGATGGGCAAACCAGAGGTCACAGCACCTTCAAGGGGCTTGAAGTCACTTTAGCGGGCCTAAACCAGCCTAGAAGGAGGACAGGCGGGAGGGGAGGGAAGGGCAGGAGAGGGGAGGGGAGGGGAAGAAAGGGGAGGTGAGGTGCGTGCATGTGCATGTGCATGTGTGTGTGCTTGTGTGTGCACAATGCATGTGTGTGAGCAATGCATAGCCATAGAAAGTGTATTACTAACTATGGGTGATAGTGAAAAAGACTGAAAGCTTTAGGAAGTTGGTCTCTAAGATCTTTCCAACTCTGCAGTTATGTAACACAAGGTTCTTAGGTTTTATGTATAAAATTCTAAGAATAGGATTCGAAGATACATTTATTTCTTTTTTTATTCATTTACCCCACACTTAAAACCTATTCTAAGCCGTGCTGGGTGCTAGAGGCAAAGAGATACCTCAGTCAGTTCCTGCTCTCAAGTTGTGATGGAGATGGACATTTAAACAGCACATTATAATACAGAATAGTATATGCTTCAGAAAGCGCCTGGCTAAGATTTGTGCATATTTCTTTTTCTGTTTTTTTTAGTTGGAGTCTCACTATGTCACCCAAGCTGGAGTGCCGTGGGACACTCACGGCCACCCCCAGAGACCACCTGCTGGGCTCCGGCAATCCTTCTGCCTCAGCCTTCCAAGTGGCTGGAACTGCAGGTATGCGCTACCACACCTGGCTAACTTTTTAGTTACTGTAGAGATGAGGGCTCACCAAGTTGCACGGGCTGGTCTCGAACCCATGGGCTCAGGCAAATCACTCGAACCCATGGGCTCAGGCAAATCACTCAACCTGGCCTCCCAAAGTGCTGGGATTACAGGTTGAGCCACCGAGCCCAGCCTATTTGAGCATATTTCATTCAACCCTTTGAGAGGGCTGACTTTCTTAGTACTATTTCACAGATGGGAAAAATCAACGCTCAAGTGGTCACCAAGGATGAATCAAGGTCACCCAGCAGAACCAGGATTTGTACCTAAGGGACAACCTGTATTTTTAGCCACTAGCCTCCACTGCTATATGAAGGGAAGGCGGGTGAGATATGGAGACCCAGAGGAAGAAGGCTGACTGGGGTGGCTGGGGGTGGGGTGGGAGAGTGGTTAGGGTAGGTGTCATAGCCAAGGGACCCTTGGGCTATGTCTTGAAGGAAGCAGAGTTAGATGACTTGACCAGGGAGCAAAGGCATTCCCTTCTTCAAGAGACAGCCTGCAGATGCTATGCCAAAAACAGGAAAGAATGTGGGATTCAGAGCAGGCAGACATGGTTTGAATTTTAATTCCAAGTTTTAATAGCTGTGTGACCTGGACAAGTGGCCTGGCCTCTCTGAACCTTCATTTTATCATGCATTAAATGAAGGCCATTGTGAAATTAAAATTATGCACCTAATGCACCTAGCATGAGCCCAGTGCCTGGCAAATAATAGAAACTTTGTGCTAATCATAACCCATTTATGACAGTTTCCTGAATCCAAATCCCAGTTCTGGGCAACTTGCAACCTCCCTGTGCCTCGGTTCCCACATCTTTAAAATGGGAACAATAAGAGCAGCATCACATAAGGTTATGAAAATAAATTTAATCAATACATGTGGCCAGGCTCGGTGGCTCAACCTGTAATCCCAGCACTTTGGGAGGCTGAGGTGAGTGGGTTGCCTGAACCCATGGGTTTGAGACCAGCCCAGGCAACTTGACAAGACCTCGTCTCTACAGTAAATCAAAAATTAGGCCAGGCTCGGTGGCTCAGCCTATAATCCCAACACTTTGGGAGGCCAAGACGAGTGGATTGCCTGAACCTGCGGGTTCAAGACCAGCCTGGGCAACCTGGCTAGACCTCGTCTCTACAATAAATCAAAAAAGTAGCCGGGTATGGAAGGCTGAAGTGAAAGGATCACTGGAGCCCAGCAGGTCGATGCTGTAGTAGCCATGAACATGCCACTGCACTCCAGCCTGGGTGACGGAGTGAGACTCCAACTCAAAAAAAAAAAAAAAAAACAATCAGTACATGTAACGTGCTAAGAAGAGTGTCAGGCAAAAGTCAGGTGGACAACAGAGGTTGGCCACTGTTACTTCTACACTGTGCTGAGAATGTTATCATTGTATTCATCAATTTGATTAACAAGTGACTGCTAAGGGTTTACTATGTTCCGGGCAATATCCACGACATGTCGGAGAATCTCAAGCAGTTTAGGACATGGCTAGGTACCTGGGTGTAAGGCAGAATTTGCTTTTGGCGGGAGTGGGAGGAAGAGGAGGGTTTGGCTGGGAGGTAAGATAAGTGGTCAGAAGTGAGGCTGGAGGGATGGAATGGGTCGGCCATAAACATTGTTTTATGTCATGTTGTCCCATGACAGTGGTGAGTCCATGGAAATTTTCAATCTGGGGAATTTTTATTCTGAGAATTTATGATTCTCCAGCTGTAAAACTCTATGACTCTATGTGCCAAAGTCTTTATGATTCCAAGATTATAGTCCTATGATTTTGTGTCTCTTAATATTTCTTACTTGCTGCAGTAGATTGATATTAAAAAATGGCCACAATGGGGACTTCTGGTTTCAACTGCAGCGTGTAAAGAACTTGGAAGTCATTACTCCTGACCTGACAACAAGAAAAGGCTGGACAAGCTGAAAATCAATGACTTTCCTTGAACTCATTCGAGAACTGAAGCTTCAGGGCAAACTGCACCCCAAAACTCTTAGTCAGGTACATGCAGGGTGGTGTGGCACCCAAGGCATTCTTGCCTGGAGCAATGAAAGCCATGAGTCCATGGAAACATTTGACTAGTAATTCTGATGAACTGCAAGACTGAGAAGCTACTGGAGACCACAGTTGTGGGGAGGGGAGGGAACATCTCACACTTTTGCAGGTTTTTCCTCTAGGAAGCTCATCAGGTTCCATTGGGGAGATCTGAGACAGCTCCCCAGGTAGCTCTGGCAGGGAGAAGCAGAGTCAACCGCCCCCCCACTCCTTTTCCTTCATCTCTAGAGGAAAGGGTTTCGCCAGAGGGCAATTCTGAAACTTCATCCAATGAGGCAAGAGGAAGTCTGCAGCACTCCAGCCCCTCCAGACTTCCTGTCTCACCTAAAAGGGAAAAAAACAGGAGGAGGGGAGGGGAGCTCTTCTCTACCCCAGAAAGAGGAAGAGAAACACTTCCGCAGGCCACTCCTGAAACACAGGCCTGCCAAAAGTTGGAGACTGAGTGAAAGGATCGAAGAATGTCCTCTTTCCCCACACTCTGCCTCCACACCAGTGAGGCTCTCGTATGAGATGATGTGATATATGATGCAGTGAGTTACAGCTGCAAGACACACAGACTCTCTGAAGAACAGCACAAAGGAAGTCCCAGAGCCAAGAGCTGGGGGAGAAAACAAGAACACTAAAGGAATTTGAAGTCCCTGATGCCTACAGCTGCAACAAACATTAAATACAGCCCAGTTCCTAGCCAGACTGACATCAATCCTCACACTAAGATCAGTATTTACCATCCTATACCACATGCCCAGCTATTAACAAAAACTTACAAGGCAGTCTATGAAGATAGAGCATCTTTAATCACAAACGTGAAATCCAAAATCTGAAAATTTCTAAGCAACGACAGGACACCTAACATGGAATATTCCACACCTGACCTTATGTGACAGGTCGCAGTCACAACTTTGTTTTGTACAAATTAATAAAAAATATTGTATAGCAATATTTTGTGGTAGTAGGCACCTGTAGTCCTGGCTACTTGGGAGCCTGAGATACTGGAAGATCACTTGAGCTCAAGAGTTTGAAACTACAGTGAGCTATGATTCTGCCACTGCACTTCGGCCTGGGTGACTGAGCAAGACAAATCTCTAAAAATATATAAACGTATCGTATAAAATTACTTTGGGGATATGTGGGTAAGGCATAAATGACACATAAACGAATTTCACGTTAAGATTTTATTTTTGTCTGGTCTGGCTACTATCCTTTGTGGTCAATCAAAGATGAAAGGCAGAAACTGGGAGAATATGGGGTTTACTTGCTGCAACCAGGTTACAGGGAGATAGGTTGCGTCATCACCAAAGACCTGCTCAAAGCAACACAAACTCATTCCAGTATTTATGCCCAAAATTCATAGCCCTTCACCCACCCTGAGTTAAGCTGAAGAAGCCTGTGTGCAGCTTCAGCATGACTGAAGATCTATGTTAACATTTTCTAGTACATGACCACTGATTTGACTCAAAGTCCCCCGGTCACACTGACATTTTTAGATAACATTCTGAAATTTACAACATGTCCTTTTCCAGAAGAAGGGGAAGACATCTGCAATACATGGAAGGAAGAGAAAGTCACAACATTTAAAATGATACTTTAAATTGCTTAAAAACACAATTGTAACAATTCTGTTTCCAAAGCCCTGGCCTATAACAACTTGTGTCTCATCCCCAAGGTATCTCATTATGCATATGTAAATATTCCAAAATCCCCCCTCCCCCAAAAAATCTGAAATCCAAAACACTTCTGGTTCCCAGCATTTTAGATAATGGATACTCAACCTGTATTAGTTTCCCAAGGCTGCTACAACAAATTACTACGTTTCATAGCCAAAAGCAACAGAAATTTATTCTTTTACTGTTCTGGACACCAGAAATCCAAAGTCAGTATCACTGGGCTGAAATCAAAGTGTTGACAAGACCGCTTCCTCTGAAGGCTCTAGGAAAAAGTCCTTTTCTAGCTTCTGGTTACTGCTGGCATTCCTTGGTTTGTGGACAAACCACTCCAATCTCTGCCTCTGTAGTCACATCAACTGCTCCTCTTCTGTGTGTCAAATCTTCCTCTGCCTCCCTCTTAAAGGAATGTATGTCAAAAAAAAAAAAAAAGAACAAAGTTGAAGGACTCAAATTCCCTATTTAAAAACTTAGTATAGCACTAAAGTAATTAAGACAGTATGGTATAAACATAGACATAGAGACCAATAAAATATAATTGAAAGACTAGAAATCAGCCCATACATCTATGGCCAATCGGTTTTGAACAGGGGAACCAGTCAATGAGTCAAGAATAGTCTCTTCAAAAGACCGTACCGCGACAACTGGATTTCTACATGCAAAAAAAGGGAGTCAGGTCCCTATCTCAAGCCACATTCAAAAATTAGCTCAAAATCAATGAAAGCCTAAAAAATCATACAATTATTAGAAGAAGACACAGGGGCAAGACGGTAGTTGCCAAAGCATGATCACTAAAAAAATTCATTATAATAGAAAACTTTTGTGCATCAAATGTCGTGATCAACAGAGTGACGACAACCATGCAACAGGAAAGATTATTTGCAAACTATATATCTGACAAGGGTTTAATATCCAGAATACATAAAGAGCTCCTACACGCCACCAACAGAAATAGGCAAACAACTGAATTAAAAAATGGGAAAAGGACGTGAAAAAACAAAGAAAATACGCAAATTGCCAATAAACACATGAAAAGCTGCTCAACATCATTAGTCATTAGGGAAATGCAAATTCAAAACCACTTTACTCCTGCTCGGATGGTAATTAAAAATAATAATAATAATAAAACAGAAAACAAGAGTTGGCAAGGATAGAGAGAAATTGGAGTCCTTGTATGTTGCTGACAAGAATGCAAAAGGGTGCAGCCATTGTAGAAAAGTTTTCCAATTCCTCAAAAAGCTAAACATAGAATTACCATATGATTCATCAATTTCACCTCTAGCTTTATATCCCAAAGACTTAAAAGCAGGGACTCAAACAGATACCTGCATGCCAATGTTCACTGCAGCATTATTCTCAATAGCCAAAAGGTGGAAACCAGCCAAGTGTCCATCAACAGATGAATGGAAAAACAAAATGTGGTATATACATATAATGGAATATTATTCAGTCACAGAAAAGAATGAAGTTCTGACACATGCTGAATAAATGTTGAAAACATTATGCTAAGCCAGGCTCAGTGGCTCAGGCTGTAATCCCGCACTTTGGGAGGTTGAGGTGAGTGGATTGCCTGAGCCCGCAGGTTTGAGACCTACCTGGGTAACTTGGCGAGACCGCATCTCTACGATAAATCAAAAAATTAGCCAGGCGTGGTAGTGCGCGCCTGTAGTTCCAGCTACTTGGAAGGCTGAGGCGGAAGGCTCGCCGGAGCCCAGCAGGTCG